ATAATATGACCATTGCGTTTCAAAAGTGAGATGTTTATTCTTTGTGTGCTTAACAGCATTTTCATCTGCTGAAAAGTTACAAGAAATGTTCCAAAGTGCAATTAAATGCTCTATTGAAGTGGTATCACTAATGCTGTGAATTGGTGCTAGTTTGGTTTTCGGGGTGTATGTGTAATGGTTTTCAATTAAAATCTTAGTAACAGGCATTACCCTTTGTGTAATTGCTAGGCTAAATCAGTAAGAAGATAAGACATGAGGTTAGTGTATTGTACCTTGGTTAATGTTTTATTCAATATAGTCAATATAATAAAATCATTTTGGTAGTGAGAACAACTTGGAGAATGTATTTTTTTCTGACTGTTTTTAACTGCTTTATCTTTTGTTTTTAGTTATGGACATCAGACAACGCAGCAGATGAAGGGGAGGGTGGAGAAGGCGGCGAGAATTAAAATGCACATGGAGTCATCTCCCAAAACAATTTACAGAAAAACCTTTTTACACGTCTCCATTCCTTATTGCTCCACTCAAAAAAAAAAATATTGCAGCAATTGAAAACCCATCATTACTGAATAGCTGTATATGGAAATTCAACAATTTTAGTCTTTTCACACTGCAGCTTTTGGAAAACAGAAAAACTCCATTCCTTGGTTTGTGTTGTTTGTCCTGGCCTTCCTGGTGTGCGGTTACTGCTGTAGAAAAGTATTAATAGCTTCTCTTTATATAAACATTAACTTCCAATTTAGAAAGAAAACACATACAGGACTTGTGTATTTTTGGAGAGAACCTTTCAAGGGAATGTTGAAATTCTGATGACAAAGATTGGTAGTCCTATATTGCAAGGTGGAATTTGTGTTTGTTAAAAGGTAAGGTCATCTCTTCATACATCCCTTGCATCATTTGTTTGATCTGCGGTTGTCTTGAATGCATACAGCAGTTGTAACTTTTGACAGGCAAATTAATTGATCGACTGACCCTGCACATGCTAGCAAATGTACAAAGACAACCTGCTCTTTACTGCGGTAGAGGTCAGTGCGTGTTAAATCTACTGAGGCAACAAGCATTTCACAGCCAAGCGCTTTTCATTGGTTATGAGGTAATTCCTTTTCGAAGGTCGCAAACACTCCTTTCTAGTAATGATATTCACTCAATGTTACTTTCTTAGCATGTCTGATTTAAAAGGTGGCACTTCCTGAATACCAAAAATAGTCTACATGCATGACCTTTTTAAGCACCCTGGAATGGGAACCAATATTATTATATACACCAAGTCCAAGTATTCTATTTAGTACTTTTCAATGCAGGTTTGTGCACATGTAAGAGGGTGTTTGGTTTGTCCAGTGATTGTCATTAGAGATTTGGACCACTATTGTGTTTTGCTAATCATTGATTGTAGTCCCCAAAAGCCTTGTGAAAATGTTTAATGCCCTATGTAACAGCTATGTAACATGAATAAAAATGACATTTTATAAACTGAAAGCAAAGCTTGTCCACTGTTTCTCTGTTGTTGGAAACTGGTGCCAATTAGACTGTCTGTGGGTATTATAAACATTGGTTCTAAGAAATCAGGATTGTCCAGCGTGGTGATTTTCCCTCATCGAGTTTTAAATTAATAAAGGGGCTTGCTTCTAGAGGGAACACAATCAAATTGGTTGACCTGTTTTCTCTCATCTGTTGACCTTGCCAGGTTACTTAATCTACTTAAAACAGGCCATCTTGAATGTTCTGCAGCTGGTTTAATAAAATGTAAAGTCTTCAAGCCAATTATGTGGTTGAGCTGCCCATAAAAATATCATTGGTTGCGTAGGTACTAGAGTGAGTAAATTAGCCAACAGCCAATAAATCACTGAAGTTAGTCTTGGGTAGTATGGAAATATTTTTCTGAATTTCCATTTGTAACTAAAATGGTATTAAATAGACATTACTTGCTGTACTATTCTTGGGTTTTATTAGCTGTTAGTGGTAGGCTACATTATATTATCTTACATACTGAATGGTAATTACACTGGGGGCATTGGTTTCTAGCCAGCTGGTTTGCCAACCTGTCCCCCAAAAGGTAAAATGTAATTGTAGTATAAATGTATCCTCTATTTGAATCATTTGTTGGGGGGAGGGGATTGTTCCTAGCAGATTGCTGTGTTGCCAGTGTAAGATGTGGGAGGGAGGACTTTCACCAACTTGTCTACGGCAGAATGCACAAGCCACTGAATGTGGAAACTCAATTCTTAGTTTCAAGTCGATATAATTTGGATAATCCCTGGTGACCTGGTTAAATTCTCCTCTGGCCTGCCGGAAATTTTATCTTAGTTGAATTCGTGAAGCAATGTCATCCAATTTAGCAGAGCTGCTTTATATCACCATAGTAGGTGCTGAACTTCAGTGGAAGATGAAATGGGTTTACCTGTAGAGCACTCTGGGATCCTTTAGGAGGAAAATGCTGTATCACTAAGAAATTAATTTTGACGAGTGCCAGAGGGAGCACAGAGGATCTTGAAGATGAAACTTTAATGTACATAGTGCCTTTAAAAAGCAATCTAAAAAGACTTTTCTATCTGCTTTATCCAATAGGTTTGTGGGGGAGCAGGGGCCTGTATCCCATGAGAATGATTAACATGGATGCCTCACAGTGCAGGAGCCTGGGTTCAATCCTGGACCTGCTGTGCTATCTGTGTGGAGTTTGTATGTTCTCCCCATGTTTGTGTGGGTTTCCTTTAGGTACTCTGGTTTCCTCCCACAATGCAAAAATATAATGGTAGATTAGCTGGCTTCTAGGAAAACTGGCCCCAGTGTGTGCGCCCTACATTGTGTCCATTGCTTACTGAGATAGGATCCTTGGAATAGACCCCAAATTGAAAGAAGCAATTAGCATAATAAAGCAGCTTTAGCAATAGACAGCAAAATAGTAAAAAAAAACTAGGCTTTCAACTGCAGAATCTTTTATAGAAAGCCGTTTCAAACTAATAAAATGGCGTGAAGCTATATCCCATTTCGGTAAAAGAAATGAGAAATGCCAGACCAAGAAAGCTGTTTTTTTTTTCCACTTTTCAATCAGTAACTGATTAAAACCCACAGAAGGTGTGTGATTTGACTTCAGCATGTAATTAGTTCAATTAATTAATCTCAGACAAATTTATAGTCGAGGTCCCACGAAGCCTGGAGCTACTGATCCCTCCCTGCCCTAAAAAGAACAGAGTTGTAGTGAAATAAATGAAGAGACAGATTTAATTGAAAAGTGTTATTAATGTTTGCAACAGCAGTCCGCCGGTGTGACTTCAGTGAACATCAGCTGGTATCCCAGCTTGCCTTATACTCCCAACCTGCTTTTCATCTTAAAGGGACATCATTGACTAATATGAAGGGAGCGTCTGCCAACTTTCGACTTGAGAACTGTGCACATGAGTGAGGAGTAGTGATGAGGGCTCTGCAGCTCAGATTAGATAGAGGATCATGGGTCCAGCTCTCGGGTAAGGTGTAGCTCAGGTTGCTTTAACAAAGGCCCTTCTGTACAAGTGGGTCCTCTTCATGCTGCAAATGTAGGTTTGTTCTCAGTTGACTTATCTGGATAAATATAGCCTGAAAAATAACAGATCCCTCCCAGCAAATCTAAAATACAACAGGTCAGCTTTTGTGCTAATTTAACGTCTGCAATCTTGAAGTCATAGACTATATATATATGACTCAAAATGTATTATTACTACAATAACTCCCTCACCCAAATCCAGTTGATTTATCTTAGTATGTGACTTTTTAAATAGTTACAGGCTCCACAGCCGAAACGTATGTCTTTTCTTCTCAGCATGGAATAAACCTTTACTTGTTCCTTTCCAGCCTAGCCTACACATGCTGACCCAGCTACCTACTTCTAATTGCTTACACTTATATATCGCTTTTCTGGACACTCCACTCAAAGCACTTTACAGGTAATGGGGACTCCCCTCCACCACCACCAGTGTGCAGCCCCACCTGGATGATGCGACAGCAGCCATAGTGCACCAGTACTCTCACCACACACCAGCTCTCAGTGGGGAGGAGAGCAGAGTGATGGAAATTTGTCCAGGACGCCAAGGTTACACCCCTACTCTTTTTGAGAAACGTCCTCGGATTTTTAATGACCACAGACCACATGACTTTGTGCAACAGAACAGCATTATACTTGGTTCCAGCTGTATTATTCTTTACATTTATAGGGAATTGTATGTTTGTTGTGCACTTAGTTTTTTCTTAATTTGAGTGGTGAGCTCCCCACAGAACTCAAGTGAACTCGAGTGCTGATTTGGCTTTTCTATGATGGTGTTTGTATTTCCTTTAGCGCTTGAGACAGAACATCTCATCTGTCCTGAGAATCCTAATTTCTTCATTGTCCTCTGTCATTTCTATCAAGAGCAATGTATTTTAAAAGCAGAATGACTTACACCCAGAAGAACATGATTTTAAAAAAAAAACATCTGCTCATTGCTTGTTTTAAAATATGTAGGTAATTGGTTTTCAAAGTGGGTTATTTAAACACATTGGGAATAGAATATATCTGAGGGACAGGGTTGCTGTATGAAAACTTCACACAAAGTATGAACAAAAGGAAATTGGGTCACCACACTCATTAAATTATTGGCTTTTTGTAGTCTAAAATATAATTAACAAAATTAAAAGCCTAATGAAATTGTTCATACTTCGATGCAGTTATTTCTCTAGATAGTTAATGTCTCACTTTCATCACAGTACTAAACGATTCACTACATCTACACACAAGGCATTCTTAATACTGAGGAATCTGAGTTTTCCAAAACAAGCGTCCTAAAAAATGTTTTGAAGTCGAAAGAATTAAGGTTTTCTATCAGGAATTGAATCTTAATAGAAATATCTTGCATACTGCCCTATTGTGACTTTCTACCACAGAACATGTCAAACACAACATAAGATTGTTTGTAAATTGAGCTGAGACATGTTGCCTAACTTTTGGCTCCTTGCAGTAATCCAAACCAGACTTTAATCCAGAAAGATAGCTTTAATCCAGGTTTTAATCCATAAAATTCAGAAATAACCAGAAAGCTTTTTTGGCCACCCTCTTAAAAAACATTCCTCTTCTTGTGCAGCTGTTAAGATGACACATTATTTACTGAAAATACCTAATAATGTTGATCCAGCTTTCTATGTATTTAAGAGCAGTAGACGAACCTCAAACGGCGTGTCTTTAAGAAGTCTGGGGAAAGTGAAGATCCTTACAAAATCCCTTGAACAGATAGGAAGGACACCCCTTTATTCAAGACTAAAGCATTTCAGTTCCTATAATTTAGTACTGTGTATGATGTATCTTTCAGACCAGGAATTAGTTTACTAACACTCTAAGAACATAAGAAAGGGTAACAGGATTGTGGCAGCAGAATAAGTTCTGAAGTTTACAGAAACATCTTGGTTCCACACTCAATGTGTGGGGTTTCACCATGCAGCACAACAATGATTCAAGATATGAAGCAGCCAACTGAGTTCATCAGGAGAACAGAACTGGAACAGACTAAGTCAAACTTCCGGTTTAAATCTGTTTGAGCAAGCATTGTAA